AGGCTGGCCTCGAACTCACAGAGATCCGCCTGGCTCTGCCTCCCGAGTGCTGGGATTAAAGGCGTGCGCCACCACTGCCCGGCTGGACATTCATTGTGGATGGAATACAACAGTGGTTATATAAGTCAGGGTTCTCTAAAGGAACAGAACCGATGGAATGAAAAAAATATCCCCTGTGTGTGTGGTGTGTGCAGTGCCTGGCCTTAGCTTGGATTGTTTCTAGCCAGCTTTCCTTAACTTTAAATTACCCCATCTACCTTTGCCTCTGGGTTTTTCCTGTTTTCTTACTTCTGTAAATCCAACTTTTACTCCGTGGCTTGCTGTGTAGCTGGCCCCTGGAGTCCTTCTCCTTCCTCTCTTATTTCTAGATCTTCTACTTCTCTTCTCCTTTTTTATTCCTCCCAGATTTCTTCTTCAATTTATTCTCTTTGCCTGCCAGCCCGGCCTATCCTTTCTCCTGCCTTGTTATTGACTGTTCAGTTCTTTATTAGACCATCAGGTGTTTTAGACAGGCAAAGTAAGACAGCTTCACGGAGTTAAAAAAAAAATGCAACATAAACAAAAGTAACACACCTTAAAATAATATTCCACTACATTTAAGCCATTCTAATAAATCACACACACACACACACACACACACACACACACACACACACACACACACACACACATTTTCATCAGTTCTCTTGTTTCCATGTGTGTTACTAGAGAGGCTTGGAAGTCCCTAATGAAATTACCATTGATTAGTTTCAAGGAAGACAGAAGGTCGACTGGGTAGTTAAACGCACAAAAAGTTTGGATCATTTAGATGACAAACGTTAAGAATAAGAGAAGAATAAAGGTAGCAAGTGCCTCTCAGGTTGTGGGTGAGCTTAGCAAGTCGGGGAGAGTGGGGGATGTTTGTTGTAGACTTTTGTCTGTAGACTCAAGAACCTGAAGGGATCTAAGTCAGTTTCTGAGTTTGTAACTATTTTCCCCCCAAAGGGCTTCCTGCCTTTATTATTAGAAGGGACCTCAGGTTTTGGAGGTACAGTGTCGGGAGGGTCACAGCATGCCCTTGGAGGGTCGTGAGAACCCTTGGAGAGTCGTGTAATCACCTACTCTGGCTCTGGTGCCTGAGCTCATGCAGCTTTCTCTGCTGCTGATACTTCTTCTTGGCCTCTGAGGATGAATCCTAGGGCTTCTCCCTTTCCTCCCCATTTCTCATCTGTGTGAACTTTTCCTACTTGGCATTATTATTATTGTTGACAGGTCATAATTACTAAGATGTTTACTGAGGCAGATGCTGTGTTCCTAGAGTTGGCCTCTCCAGCCTTCTGCTGAAGTAGATTCTGAGGTCTTCTGTGGGAAGTTATAACCTTCGAGAGACTGAAAGAAACAAAGTTTAGTCTGTGTCAGAAGCGAATGGATGAGAGAAAGTGTGAATGGGTTGGAGAATTTTGGTATGTGTTAACCTTCCTATTAAAGTGACCAATCCATAGCAACTGCCCTCTCTTTTTGCCCCTCTAGTGGCCCAGATGCCCCAGTATTTTCAGTTTGCATTTCAGACAAATTGAGAGGCAATAAATAGGTAGGTGGGTGTATGACCCACACATTTGTCTTTTCTGTAAAGCGAAGGGGAAAGGACGCTTACATATTTTTTTTTTCTGATGTTTCAAGCTGTTTTTAAATTCTTGTATAATTAGACAGTTTGACTCAGAAATTTATAAAGAGTGATGTAAAAACTAGGACAAGAACTGTGCAGTTTCGTGCCTGAAAAGCCTGGACTGGTGCCTTGAAAGCCGCCTGATTCCGATGTTTTTTCCTCTAAGGGCTGCTGCTCAGAGCAAATTAAGTCACTACACAGATGCAATAAAGGACTGTGAGAAAGCGATCGCCATCGATTCCAAATACAGCAAGGCCTATGGAAGGATGGGGTGAGTGCTCAGAGAATGGCCAGAGTATTGCCAAGGAACGTCATGTATGCTGTTTCGAAGGTTTGATGTTGACTATCCTAACATTGCATACTCTGCGATAATACATAAATGTAATAAAGTACAGGAAATGATTATCCTTGAGAATGAGGTCAGCAGTGGGTATTTCACAACTGACTGGTTGTTGGAGAAAATCACAAACCTGTGTGAGAAAACTCACTTTGTAGCCTGGGCCATAAAAACACAAAAAAGGTTCATAGGTCCCTAACTGTGTATTTTCCTTGGAAACTATTATTTAGTATTTGTTAGTTTTGTGTTCATGGAGACTTTATTAAGATTTAATTTCGGTGAGTGAGAATTGACTATATGTGCTATTGGAGCTGTCTGAACTCCATACTCAATATATTCCATTAATTTTTATCTCTGTATTTGAATATTTAATAGACACTTTGAATTTCATGTGTTTCAAACAGCTTTTGCTCCTTTCTTAAATCTTTTCCCAGCATTCTTCTGCCCAATGCTTAGGTCAAAAGCTGTGTGGATTCTCATTTTCTTTTTTTTTTTTTAATATTTATTTATTATGTATACAGTGTTCTGTCTGCATGTGTCCCTGCAGGCCAGAAGAGGGCACCAGATATCATTACAGATGGTTGTGAGCCACCATGTGGTTGCTGGGAATTGAACTCGGGACCTTTGGAAGAACAGTTTGTGCTCTTAACCACTGAGCCATCTCTCCAGCCCCCGGATTCTAATTTTCTTAATGTATCTTGGATTCAGTTGTTGACTAGCTTGCTTATAAGCTTACCCCAAATTGGCACCTCTTACCTAGTCTACTTTAGTAACCTCCCAACTGGTTTTTATCCCTCAATTCTATAACTCATCAATGTTTATCCTCTACAGAGAAGCCAGAGTAAACCTTTTAGAGCATGGTCCACAAAAGCTGAGTTATCTAAGTAGATAGAACATTTGCCTAGCATTTAGGTAGCCCTGGATTTGAGCCCCAGCATTGCATAAACTGGGTTTGATACTGCACGCCTACAGTCCCAGCACTTTGGAGGAAGAAGCAAGAGGATCATGAGTTCAAGATCATCTTTGGCTACATAGCAACGTTGAGGCCAGCCTAGGCCCCATAAGACCCTGGCTCAAACCTGCCCACCAAACCCCCAAAGCATAACTCAAAACATAGCAAATCATTTTGTTACAACTATAGTTAAGAAGTCTGAACTTTAAAGGGTCCCGTACGACCTAGTATAGCCAGGTGATGCCTCTGCCTTGTTTCCTGTGTTCCAATCTCATGTGCCTTTGTCCTATACTTTAAGCATACCACACCTACATCTTTCTCTGCGCCTTTGTGTTTACTGCTGCTGGGGAGTCCTCCCCCAACTTCTCTCTAATTACTTTCTGTCAGTTACATCTTCTGGGTGTGGCTGTTTCTGAGCTGTTTCTGAGCTAAGCATGTTGTTGCCTATGCTCCTCAGGTGGAATTTCTTAAAGTTAGGAACTTTTTTTCCCTTTATTTTAATTTTTTTATTTTTTAATTAATTAATTTATTTTTCTATTATCAGCTTGATACAGTATAAATTCTTATCCTAATAGTGAAATGTTTGATTGAGGCTTACCAAGTAATTGAGTAAAACCAAAACTTACTATAAGCCATAGTCATCCTAGGGTCCCTGTTATATAGCCTCTCTGGTTCTGTGGGTTGCAGTCTGATTGTTCTTTGCTTTATGTCTAGAATCCACTTATGAGTGAGTACATACCATGTTTGTCCTTCTGGGTTTGGGTTACCTCACTCAGGATGATATTTTCTAGTTCCATCCATTTGCCTACAAATTTCATGCTGTCATTGTTTTTCTCTGCTGAGTAGTACTCCATTGTGTATATGTACCACATTTTTTTAACCCATTCTTCAGTTGCCTAGCATCTAGGTTGATTCCAGGTTCTGGCTATTACAAATAGTGTTGCTATGAACATAGTTGAGTATGTATCTTTGTGGTATGATTGAGCATTCCTTGGGTATATGCCTAAGAGTGGTATGGCTGGGTCTTGAGGTAGATTGATTCCCAATTTTCTGAGAAAACTGCCATACTGATTTCCAGAGTGGTTGTACAAGTTTGTATTCCCATCAACAGTGGAGGAGTGTTCCCTTTGCTCTGCATCCTCTCCAACAAAGATTGTCATTAGTGTTTTTGATCATAGCCATTCTGACAGGTGTAAGGTGGTATCTCAGAGTCGTTTTGATTTGCATTTCTCTGATGATTAAGGATGTTGAGCATTTCTTTAAATGTCTTTCAGCCATTTGTGATACTTCTTTTGAGAATTCTCTGTTTAGCTCTTTAGCCCATTATATTATCCAGTTATACTAGACTTAATAGAAGAGAAAGTAGGAAGTACACTTGAATGCATTGGCACAGGAGATTACTTCCTAAATATAACACCAGCAGCACAGACACTGAGAGAAACAATCAGTCAATGGGACTTCTTGAAACTGAGAAACTTTTGTAGGGCAAAAGACACGGTCAATAAGTCAAAAAGACAGCCTGCAGAATGGGAAAAGACCTTTACCAACCCCACATCTGACAGAGGACTGATCTCCAAAGTATATAAAGAACTCAAGAAACTAGACATCAAAATACTGAACAATCCAATTAAAAAATGGGCTAAAAGTTAGGAACTTTAAAAAAAGACTGTGAAATGCCCCAGGCGGCGGTGGTACACACCTTTAATCTCAGCACTTGGGATGCAGCCAGGCAGATCTCTGTGAGTTCAAGGCCAGCCTGGTCTACAGAGTGAGATCCAGGACAGGCACCAAAAATACATGGAGAAACCCTGTCTCAAAAAACTAAAAACAAAAACAAAAACAAAAACAAAAACAAAAAAACAACCCAAAAAAAACTGTGGAATGCTCAATATTTAAAATAGAACCTGGTACATAGTAGGCTTTCACTGTTTATTGACAACTAATTGGAAACTCTGCTGAGGGTTCTTCAAGGTTGACTAATAGAAAACTAGTTGGGTTTTAAGAATTTCTTATTTTATCTACATAAGAAGTCAGTCCGAGTTGTTGAGCTTGAACTGTATAGGGGGCCCCCAAGCAGTGAGATTGGGACCTGTCCCTGGTGTATGAGCTGGCTTTTTGGAACCCAGGGCCTATGGTGAGACACTTTGCACAGCCTTGGTGCAGGGAGGAGGGGCTTGGACCTGCCTCAACTGAAAGTACCAGGATCTGCTGACTCCCCAGGGGAGACCTTACCTTGGAGGAGGTGGGAATGGGGGGGACGGTTGAGGGGAAAGGCTGGGGGACAGGAGGAAGGAGGACAGGGGATTCTGTGGTTGGTATATAAAATGAATAGAAAATCTCTTAAAAAAAAAACAAAAAACAACAACAAAAAAAAAAACTCAGGTAATCCAGAAAAGAAAGGATTAGATTAATGTGTTTAAAAACAATCCTAGAGCCGGGCGTTGGTGGCGCACGCCTTTAATCCCAGCACTCGGGAGGCAGAGCCAGGTGGATCTCTGTGAGTTCGAGGCCAGCCTGGGCTACCAAGTGAGTTCTAGGAAAGGCACAAAGCTACACAGAGAAACCCTGTCTCGAAAAACTTAAAAAAAAAAAAAAAAAAAAAAAAAATCCTAGAACAAACAAGACACTCAATACTATCTTTTCATACATACTATTACTACTTACTTCTGATATGATTTTCAAGCAAATTGTAGGTTGGGAAAGACAAACACTGAAATTTAATAATGCGTAGACTTGTGCCTGTGATGGTAATTTATCATTTGAATTATAAGAGATCCTTAAGATGAGGAACTGGGGCCAGTGGGGTGGCTCAGCAGGTAAAGGCACTTGCTGTAGAAGCCTGATGATCCCCCGCTCAATCCCCTAGCCCACCTTAATGTGAAGGAAAAGAGCAAGTCAGCAGTTACCCTTTGGCGTGTCCCCCTCCCCCAGTAAATAAATCAATAGTTTTAAAAAGCTGTAGGAAGCAAAGGAGTTAAAAAAAAAAAAAGTGGGAGACTAATATTTATTATTGTTCGAGTTCTTTTAGGAAGGAAGAACGTGGGATGCTTTGACGTGCACAGCATTTAGGTGCAGAGGTGTCCCACCTGAGGCCTGGGGGCTGCATGGTTCCAAGATAGCGATGAATGCAGCCTGACACATCTGTTGTTGTTGTTATTATTATTATAAGGTCAAAAGGCTTGACATTCCTGGCTTATTAGAGTCCTTGGGAATGGAGTCAGCATCATGGATTTACATGATCACAAGATTGCTAGCACAGATCTTTGTTTGGCTCAGCCTAGAGATTCATAAAGCAAATTATTTACAGGTCGGTCTTAAGAAAATACAAAGGTAAATATGTTTCGTCTCTGACCTGTGCGAGACAGTAATCGAACAGAAGGAGACAATTCAGGCTTATAGAATCTTGGAGTTAGAGAGAATTTTAGTGCTAGATCTCTGAACCATAATATAATGAGGGATTCAGTGTAATCGGGATTAAAATTGAATATCGTTTGTCGTCATGATACCGTGCTGTGCTGTAGCCTAACTCTGCTCTGTTTCCTAAGGCTGGCCCTCACCGCCATGAATAAGTTTGAAGAGGCAGTTACAAGCTACCAGAAGGCACTGGATCTTGATCCTGAAAATGATTCCTATAAGTCAAATCTGAAAATAGCAGAACAGAAGTTAAGAGAGGTGGCTAGTCCTGTAAGTTGTCACTGTGACATCTGTGGAATACATCTGTCCTTCACAGTTGATTGACATCATAGTGGCTGAAATGAATCTCAGATATAACTTTTTTACAGACAGGAACTGGGCTGAGCTTTGACATGGCTAGCTTGATAAATAACCCGGCGTTCATCACCATGGTGAGTATACTTTCCTTTTGAGCTACTGGTTGCTGGCTACTATATATTTGCAAACCTTTTCTGCCATACTTTTTAAGGAGATGGCATCTTTCAATAGTTGCTGGCATTGGCCCAAAGCCCTTGGGTTCAAGTAATTTTCCTGTGTCCGTCTCCCAAGGAACTGGGAGGGCAGGCTACAAAATTTTTTTAGAAACAAAGGAGTTTGTGGTAAGTGGCAGATGTTTATGACAGAGGCAAAGACAGAGGTGTTCACCTCGGAGGGAAGCCAGAGTGAATCTTAGCTTTCCTAAACTGGAATGTAAAAGTCAATGTTTATGTGACTTATGTACTTTATAAGACAATACTCATATATTTTCATTAGATTGCCAATTTGCAAATCTGTGAAAGGTTAAGAACCACTGTCATGGGCTGGGGAGACAGCTCTGAAGGTAACAGTGCTCGCTGCACAAGCTGGTGATCCCCAGTTCAATTCCTGAGATCCATATGGTGGAATGAAAGAACTGACTCCCACAAGGTGCCTTTTGGCCTCCACACAAGCACGGTGGCACATGTGTGTGCCTACGCAAGTGTGCGCATGCTCGAGTGCACACACACATCTCACACTCTCTAAATCAATCAATAAACAAAGGTAATTTAAAACCTCCATGTCATATAAAACTGGTCCTAGGAAAATATATCTATCAGTTTATGTCTGAGGATTTTGATTATAGCGATTACCCAAGCTTGCCCCTCAGTATTGTTGCCTGTTTTCTGTTCGAAGAGTTTATGTTTTTAAAAACAGTCTCTCATGTAGCCCACGTTGGCCTCAAACGTGGGATGTAGCTGAAGGTGACCTTGAAGTTTTGCTCTTTCTGCCTCCTAAGTGCTGGGATTACAGGCATGCACTACTAGATTCAGTTTATGCAATGCTGGAGACTGAACTGAGGACGTCAGCATCCTAGGGAACTAAGCAACACCCTAGACTTTCCCTCTGTTCTTCAAATCAACAAAAGAACTTAGAGGTCTTGGAAAACAATCATGATTCGGCCCAGTGCTTAGTGGGTATAGGATATTACCGGGGTCTATAGTGCCCCTTGAATGACTGCATACTTTGCACGAAAACATTCTGCTGCCTGGCATGGTGGTGCATGTCCGCAATCCCTGCACTTGGAAGCCTAAGGAAAGAAGATGGAGAGTTTTAGGTCAGCCTTGCCCACACAGGAATTGGAGGCCTGCCTTGGTTACATAGGCGAGACCCTGTTTCAAAACAAAACCCACAAACATTCCATCCTGTGCTATGTTCCTGGAATAGGAAACAGTTCCTATTCATCTTTGTTCAGAGAAATGTGGTTTTTTTGTTTGTTTGTTTTTGTTTTTTGTTTTTTCAAGACAGGGTTTCTCTCTGTAGCTTTTTGTGCCTTTCCTGGATCTCGCTCTGTAGCCCAGGTTGGCCTCGAACTCACAGAGATCCGCCTAGCTCTGCCTCCTGAGTGCTGGGGTTAAAGGCATGTACCACCACCGCCTGGCAGAGAAATGTGTTTTACAGTCATCAAATCCTTAGTTCAACTGAAAGACACAGTCCTCTCTCGATCCGGTTGACCTTCCTGCCTACTTGCCAGCAAGCACAGGCCCGCTTTTAAGTCTTGTGATGTCCTAAAGCCTGGCTCGCTCATTTCTAGGATATGAGCAAGTTCTGTTCTCAGGTTGTGCTACTCTAACAGACTATGAAAATGGAACCGAGTTTCAGATTAAATTTCGCCTCTAAGCTGTTACATACCACAACAAGGTGTGACAACCCCACGTAGGAGTTGCAGAAGACGAGGGTTCAAAGCACATCTTCTGATTCTTCCAAAGGGGCCGAGGTCGGGTTGTGGGTGGGCCTCAGTGGCAGAGCACTTGGGTGGCATTCTTGAAGCCCTAGTCCTGATCTCCCAACACTGCTCTAATACATAAATACATAAACACGTAAGGAAAGTCAGGGCCGAGAGTGGAGTTCAGCATTAGGACATATGCTTGGTGTTCAAGAAGCCCTGGGTTTAATCCTCAGTGATGTCAAAATAAAAGGAATAGAAATGGATGAAATTATAAAGAAAATAAATAACAGGAGGACCAGGTTGATAGCTGATTAAAATGGAGTTCTGAGGATTTGCTGGCCTGCCACTGTTCTCTGTGAAGGAAGCAGGGAGGCCTTCCTTCATCTCCAGCCTGCTACAAAGGGCTGTTCTGGTCTCCATAGCACAGTCAGTTGCATACAGATTCTTGGTGTCATCCTTCTTAAGACTACACAATCTCGGGCTGGAGCAATGGCTCAGTGGTTAAGAGCACTGGCTGTTCCTCCAGAGGTCATAAGTTCAATTCCCAGCAACCACATGGTGGCTCACCATCATCTGTAATGAGATCTGGTGCCCTTTTCTGGCGTGCAGGCAGAACACTGACTACATAATAAATAAATCTTAAAAAAAAAAAAAAAAGAGTACACAATCTCCACCTTTGTGGTGGTGGTGCATACCTTTAACCACAAATTTGAGGCCAGCCTGGTCTACAGAGGAAGTTCCAGGACAGCCAGGGTTACACAGAGAAACCCTGTCTCGAAAAACAAAAAAAGTACAAGATCTTTATAGTTTTACGGTTTCTCTTTTTCCTTTTTGGTCCGTTGATCTGATCAGTAATGGCAATGCCCTCCATTAACAGTGTATTTTTTATTGTCTGTAATCTCACATCCCTGTTTGTTACCAGTTTCTACAGAACCTTCTCTCTTGTGCCTTCCCATTTACTTTGTAGAGCACACTAAAACACCAGCCAACGTTAGGGTGTGTCTCATCAGGTTTCACTCCTCCACCTTTACAAAATCTCTGTAACATCCCTAAGCATTACTGCTGTAGTTTAATGGACAATACTGTTTTTCAATTGCAGGCTGCAAGTTTAATGCAGAACCCCCAGGTTCAACAGCTGTAAGTATAAATAAAGGGTTCCTGTGACTTTTGCCTTCTTGTTGCCAGGCTCCTAATTCGAGTATATCATCTCTCGTTGCCAGGCTCCTAATTCGAGCATATCATCTCACAATTGATAAAAAAGCACTGAATTCCAGTTGCTTAGAACTTAAGGTCAACTTAAATATTTGATCCAGCCCCTTCTGTGTTGCTGATGTATTTGACTGACTTCTTCCTGTGAAGAGTATATACTCATCTCCATGGTGTGTCTCTTACTATCCTAGAATGTCAGGAATGATGACAAACGCCATCGGGGGACCCGCTGCTGGAGTGGGAGGCTTAACGGACCTGTCTAGCCTCATCCAAGCGTGAGTGTTTGTCCTAATTTGCTTTCTATCGAACTGATAAGACCCAGTGAGCAAAAGCTGCTTGGGGAGGAAAAGCTTTATTTCAGCTTACCGTTTATAGTCCATCATGAAGGGAGGTCAGAGCAGGAACCTGGAGGCAGGAGCTGAGGCAGAGACCACGGAGAAACACTGCCTGCCGGCTTGTTCTCTGTGGTTCTCCCAGCTTGCTTTCTTATACAGTGGGGCACCACCTGTCCAGAATGGCACCACCTCCAGTGTTCTGGACCCTCACATATTAATGATCAAATCAGAAAAGTGTTCCATAGACTTAACTGCAGGCCAGTCTGATGGCGGCAGCAGTTCTTCAGCCCCGATATCCCCTCTTCCTTGATATGTTTAGGTTTGTGTCAAATTGACAAAAACTAACCAGCCTAGATTGTTGGTTAATTTCAGAACCATACAGTCTGTTTCTAAGGGGTCAAGGCTTTCGTCTTATTCTTTTACTGTTAAAATGACTTGCCTTATTAAATGTATTAAATCTCTAAGAAGTTGATAAATAGAAGTCACATTTTAAAGTTCAGGGTGGACTATGTGGCCAGCTCTTTCTTTTGGGAAAAACCATGCATGTTCACAGGCTTTTTTCTTTCCTCAGGGGACCATCACATACTGACAGATCAGTCGAGAGCCAGAGTTATTAGCAGTAAAAGTAGGCAGAACCCTGGTGCGGTGGCGCACACCTTTAATAACAGCACTTGGGAAGCAGAGGCAGGTGGATTTCTGTGAGTTTCAGACCAGCCAGGTCTACAGAGTGATATCCTGTTGCAACAAGCAAGCAAACAAACAAAACCAGGCAGTTTCCATGCAGAATCATAACTGAGAGCTAGAGGAGCTGAGGAACAAGTCTTAACTTCCTGTGGGCTCAGAGCGTCAACCAAAGAGTTCAGTCTTTGGATTTATAGCTAAATTTTTGTCGCTTTCAGTATCGAATTAGGGTCCTCAGTTTCTTACGTGGGGATATCAGTTCTATCATCTACACTTACAGAGGACCCCTAAGGATTGGTGGCCTGTTTATTGATGCACACCCATTGTGATCTCAAATGAAGAGCAAGCAATTCATCCTTCACTTTTACCAAGGAAAATCCAAGACTTTTTTTTTTTTTAATTTTGTAGCTTGACTAACTACTCTGGGGTTTAAGTGGTAGCCATATGTCTACGGAAAATATGTACTAATTAGGTACAGATTCATATTTACAATGTGTCTTACATAGCCTTGCTATGTAGCCCAGGCTAGCTTCCAGTTTAGGGCGATCTTCCTGAGTGTGCTGGGATTACAAACAAGGGCCCCCATACCTGGCTTAAAACCCCCTTTACTTTAGTGGTAGAGCACTCATTTGGGTTTAGTCCCTAGCATCACAAAAATAAGTCAATAAAATGAGTTCCGGAATCACGTTACATTATTCATGTTCGGACCGCTCAGGAAGCTCACTCAAGCCTCCTCTGCCATGCTTCTTCTCACTGGCCCCACGCACCCAAGCACATTGTTGTCTGTTGGAATTGCCCAAGACACTGCCTTTTGAATGTGTGTTTGATTCTGCCACTGCCAAGTTTACAGAAAGCCACGGTTCCAGTTTCTAAGTTGTAACCAAAAGCACTCACCACCTTGATGTTGCATTTTTAGAGTGATCTTTAAGGGGCACGATTGTCATGTTTAATACATGTAATTGAAGTCACAAGCCCAAGGATTTGTGACAAACTTATTTTAGTCATCTCAAGGATCATGTTAGTAGAGTTTAAAGGAAAAAACCCTAGGACAGTCAAGCTATAAATCTCAGCAGCTGTCCAGAGAAGAATTGAGACGAGAAGGGAAAATAAGAACAACAGTCTAAACAGCAACCCCCTTCCCCATCAAAAAAACCCATGCTGTTTGAGTTACGCCAGCATGGAGGTCAGCCACATGGTGGCAACATCATAAGCAGCATGCTAGGGAGGGGGGCTGCAGAGAAAGAGCAGGGAAGAGCAGAAACTACCAGGAAAATTCTGCGTAGTTTCTGACCAGCCTCCGAATGAAAGAGACAAAAACAGAAGAATAGGAATTTCATGAGCACTCAGAAAAGTGAGCAGACCCCAGGAACCTCATGGCAGCTCGTCCAAACTGTCTAAACTCTTTATTGTTTGAGACAAGATCTTATATAGACCATGCTGTCCTTGTCACTATGTAGCTAAGGGTGGTCTTGAACTCTTGATCTTCTTGCCTCTCCCTCCTGACTGCTGGAATGTAGATGTGCACTACCATCCTGTTTCAAAACTGTGTATGAGTGTGTTTAATGAAGGGCTGGGATTGGACCTAGAGCCTTAGGAATGCCAGAAAGGGTTCTGTTGGCTTGGAGAGGTGGCTCAGAGGCTAAGAGCACTTGCTTATACGATAATGACAACTGGACTTCTGACTTAGCACCCACGTAAGGACCTGGGCATCCCAAACACACCTCTAACTCCAGGTCCAAAGGCGCAGAGACAGGAAGACCACTGGGGCTTGCTGGCTTCCAGCTTACCCAAGAAAATGCAAGTGCCAGGTTCAGGGAAAGGCTGGAGTGATAGAGGAGGACTCTCGACATCTCTTCTGGCCTAGGCTTATGCACCTGCGTGCGCACACATACAAACATATACACACACCTTTAAAAGAAGTTCTGTCATTGAACTACATTCCTAGGCTTATGTTAAAACTTTGTCTTTTAAAAATTCGCTTTTTAGCTGGGTGGTGGTGGTACACGACCTTAATCCCAGCACTCAGCAGGCAGATCTCTGATTTTGAGGCCAACCTGGTCTACAGAGTGAATTCCAGGATAGCCAGGGCTACACAGACAAACCCTGTTTCACCACCCACCCCCACTCCCCAAAATAAAAATTTGCTTTTCAGTGACCTCTATTAGGATCCAGCCTGGGAGTTGTTGGCCTTTCCTAAGAAACTAGGAGGACATGGCGCTAAGAGCATTGTCTCAGGGCATCCTGTAAAGCCTCACACCCGTTAGTCCTTTGATTGATGTGTGGAGGAGTAGATTACATCCAATTCAGGCCCTCCTACTTTAGCCTGGGCATTTTGTTTCTTCTTGTGGTCTTCACCAAAAGGTTGACAAGCAAAGGGTGTTTTGTTTCCTAAAAAGAACTCTGTCCTGGTGGAGAGCTTGCCTTGCTACCATGAAGACGTGAGTGCCAGCCCCTGAACACAGCTGTAAAAACAAAACAGAGGGGCTGGAGAGATGGCTCAGTGGTTAAGAGCACTGGCTGCTCTTCCAGAGGACCCGGGTTCTATTCCCAGCACCCACGTGGCAGCTTAATAAAATTAAAAAACAAACAAACAGAACAAAACCGGAGTGATGGCTTGTAATTCCTGTTCTGGGGAGCTAGGAACGGGAGCGTCCCTGGGGCTCGCTAGCCTAGTGGCCAGCCTAACCTAGATTGCAGCTTTCTGGCCAGTCGATAAACCCTGTCTCAAAACAAACAAAAAAGGTAGACTGTACTTGAAGAACAAATACTAATACCTGTCCTTTGAACTCCACGTGTGCACCTGTACACACACACACACACACACACACACACCCTGCAAACTCTGTCCTGTAGTACTGCTATGTGGAATATTGGTAATGTTATGGTTCTAAAACTTGTGTTTATAGGAAAAATTCCCGACAGTTCATTTTGCATGAGTATTCATTCTGTGACTTGGAAAGTCCCACCCAGTTTATTCTGCCTTTTTCCTGCAGGGGACAGCAGTTTGCTCAGCAGATACAGCAACAGAATCCTGAACTCATAGAGCAGCTGAGAAATCACATCCGGAGCAGATCATTCAGCAGCAGCACAGAAGAGCATTCCTGACTTGATCAGGACCATTGCTCCCAATACAGATAGCTTGTGGTTCTGATATGTCCACCTGTAGATAATAGCCAAAAACAAAGTAACAAAATCCACCCTACACAATGTCTGAAAATAATGGAGGAAAGTCTCTTGTGTAAACCTGAGAGAATCCATCTGTTTAGAAAATAGTTTATCACAAACAGACTTGAACATAATACAAACTCCTTTGGAAACAAACCATCAGTAGCCTTGTTAAGTGCTAATACAGTCTTGGGACAAGGGCCCATCCATTTTAAAACTTTTATCATCATATTTGTATATCAGACTTAGTACAGAGTATATTTATTGAATAGTAGGGCTATTTATTGGAAAGTTCTCTAGCTACAGGTTTCTCTAGCCCATGGGTTTTGAGAGGGCCATGACTAAGTAGAAAGACTTCTCATGCTGGTTTAGAAGAAAAAGAGAGAAGCTTTGATATGTGCTACCATCGGTAACACATGTCTGTCTTGGGTACCGGTACTATCTGTGGGGCAGCTTGTATTGGTGTCAGGGGATCTTCAGAACCGGCAGGAAGCAATATTGGTGCAAGTGATGCTTTGAAGATACTGTGAATGTACAGAAAGCAGTGGTCGTATGCTCAGGTTTTCTGCATAGATTTTAACTAATCTTGTCTGTAGTTTAGTGTTGATAGCATTCGCATGGTCAGTTAAGTACATAATGAAACACACTTAGAGATCCTTAAGGGTACCGGTGGGGTCAGTCAGTGAGCACAACTGTTCTATTTAATTATCACAGCTTAACTGTCACAGTTTCATTGGTGGGAAACTTACCTAGGGCAGTAGCTAGTGACATTTAAAAAAGCCACTGACTTGACCCCAAATTATAGGATTTCTAAGTGGTATTTAATTATGTGCCCGTCAACGATGATTTTTTTTTTTTTTGAACTTTACCATTATTTGATGGCTAACAGAAGCATCTATTGCTAATTTGTGTAATCCTCTGCTGCAGTTTGGCTTGGCATGTCAGTCTTATGCTTACCTTTAATTTATTGCAATTTAAACGTAACAGGAGACTTCAAATATCTTATCCTATTTATGCATCTGGCATATGGTTAGTAGGAAGAAATGGCATGGGATACTAATGGCATGACTCTAGGAGCACTGATGGATGAGGAAAGTCCAGTTTCAAATGGAATTTGCCTACGTAACCAAAAACCTGGTTAAATAGGGGCTGGCATGTAATGATTTTGCAGGCGATGAGGGGAAGGTGAAAAAGTAATTTAAAAATTAATGAGGTGGTAAGGGCCTTCCCACAGCTCTTCTCAATCTGTGCATTTAGAATCTTGAGGTTTCAAAAGTAACCTTTTCTTTTTTGCCTTTTGTAAGACAGTGGTTTTGTGATTTCACTGCAAGCATCAAGTGTGGGAAATTAATTAAAAATCCTGGTTTAGGGTCATGTCATCAGATTTGGTTTAGATCACCATTTTAAACAGTGCATGATGCAGTTAGAACTCAACTTTAGAACAACATAAGGTTGTTCTTAAATAGCCAGCAAGGACCTGGGCTCAGGCTCACGTGGGACAGACCCAAAACACAGTTCTGGTAGAGAAGAGGAGAACCTCTGTCACAGAACCATGTTGTGTTGGCTTACACTCAGCAGCGAGTGTTCTTTGCAGAGTGAAATACTCCCTGGTTGCCTAAAGGTTATGACTGCAATCAAAGAACATTCGAAGTTGACCACTAAAAACCAGTCATCCAGTGTTGAATATGTTAATAATCCTAGAACATGCTTTCGATTCAATACAGTGAATCCTTAGTGTGTTGAGTAGGAAACAGAAAATACAAATGGACAGTATCAGAGATGAAAGTGAAAGTGCATGTCTAGTATGTGAGACCATGGGTTCAAGTCCATCATTGCATTAAAAAAGAAAAAAGAGCAGATGTATTACCGAACAGATCCTGTAGATATTGAAAGGGAAACTAGGGAGATTGGGAGCATAGTTCAGTTGGTGGTGCTTGCCCGGCACGAATCCCTGGGCTACTTCTTCCCTACCTAGTACTGCATGGAACTGGAATGGTAATGTGCACCTGTAATCCCAACACTTGGGAAGTAGAGGCAGGACCAGGAATTCAACATCATTCTTGGCTACACAGTGAGTATGATGCTAGCCTGGGCATCATAAACAAAACAAAACATCAAAAACAAAACAAAACAAACACCCCAATAGGAAATAAACAGCAAAAAGGACAATTAAAAAACACGAGTTCCCCTAGATTTTTTATTTAACAACTTTTGGAAACCAGTCTTTGTGAAGAAGATAACATGAATAGGCATCTTTGTTAAGAAATGTCAGTACCTTCCAGGAAAAACAAAAACCCAATAGGCTCAAATGATTTCAGTGGTCAACTCTATCCAAGACTTAGGAGAGACTAATACCGGTTCTATACAACTCTTTCAGAAAACAGAACAGGAAGAAATAGTTCCCAACTCGCTTGACCAGTAATATCCTGGTAAGAATTAACAGTTCCCATCAGCGGCTCAGAACACTGACTTCTTGTGCTAACACCCTTGGCTAAAGGGAGCTCTTCTTTTTACATGAAATTAAGGAACTGGTGTATCTTCCATTTCACTTCTTCATTTGTTTCTTTGGGAACAAATATACTACCAGATGTCGTTTCCTGCTTCCTTTTCCTTTTATTCAGGACACCTTCTCTTCAGGTTTCTCCATTTCATTGCGATCGTCACACTGCAAGCTATTTCAAGATTTTTTTGTGTGGTCTGATTGTGCTAGATGTCTTAAAATTCTAAGAACTTCCCTAGGTATTCCCCCTCCCCCTTGTCTGGAAAATACACTTGCCGAGAGAAACAGGATGGCATTGAACTTGCATACATTCTCATTAGGAATGCCCGACTCCCGTGACCCCATTTCATTGGAGTAGCTGAAACTGTTACCGTGCTATGCAAAACTGAATATGCCCTTTTTATGGAAATGGAATTTCATTTACTGTACCAAATCATCAATCTAGTTTTTATAATAGCTGACACAGATCCTTTATAAGATGGCATTTATCTAACTTTTATTTAGAGTATGAACAGTATGTACCTATGTTGTTTATACACAGAAGAGACTTTGTAATTAAAAGTATATAGCAGAGTAACTTTTAAATTCTGAATGAATGAAAACATGGTTCAGTCATGAGAGGATGCTTGAAAGAATGCTGATACAGACTGACTTGATCAGTCGTGGTCGTTCATCCTAAAGGAACCAATTTCAGTTCTCACTGCTTGCATTTTGTTTTGTTAGACATTCATCAATCACGACTAATGTGAAGGTCAAGCCTTCTGAATATATCTTTCATTTTGGACCAAATAATTTGTCATGGCAATAAATAATTATGCATTTAAGAAAAAGGGTTTTGTGTTTGACTTAATGCAGTTTTAATATGTAAGCAATTAACCCCAGGTGGTGGTGGTGGTGGTGGTGGTGCAGGTGCACACCTTTAGTCCCAGCATGCGGGAGGCAGAGGCAGGCAGATCTCTGTGAGTTCGAGGCCAGCCTGGGCTACAGAGTGAGTTCTAGGAAAGGTGCAAAGCTACACAGAGAAACCCTGTCTCAAAAAACCAAAAAAAAAAAAAAAGTAAGCAATTATATACTGGAGAATTGCAACTTGTCAAAGTAGGGTAAGGTTTATTTAACAGCGTGGATTTTTGTTTTCCTGATCAATCAGCAAATGTTTTGTTACATTCTTGTTGCAAAGCTGTTTAAAGCCTTAATTTTTTTATTTGTTCCTGACACGAATGGGTATGATTATATGGACAGACAAAACTTTTATATTAGTACATGATACGAGACTTAAAAATTATTAACCTTGTTACAAGTTAACCAAGTCTGCCCAGGATAGCTGGCCCTGCTCCTTGCTGCAGCAGGAGACCTGGCCCCCCAAATCAGGAAAGATGGCTCCACCCCTCACCTGAGCAGCACACTCCAGCTGACCCAGTTGTCAGGAGGCAGGTGAGCCAGCCCTGAGGGCGTGAGAGCAAGAGCTGACCCCGCCTCTTTCATCTGCCATGTGGTGGCAAGAATGAGGGAAAGATGCCCTTCCCCTCCTCTCACCCCTTGCTACCCTTTGGGGGCAAGAGGGCTGGCCCCAGGATCATGGGAGTTTGAGAACTAGCCCTGTCTCTCACCAGCTACCGGCAGGCACTTGGGAGAGTGGGCCCTACACCTCACCTGGGCAGTACACTAGAGCTGACCTTGTCCAGATGCAGGTGAGCTGGCCCTGAGGGCCTGAGAGCAGAAGAGATGACACCCCCACCCTCCCAACTCCCGCCTCGCCTCGTATGCCCCCTACAGCAACTGAGGAGAAGGCCCTGCACCTTGCCGGGGCAGGACAGTGGAGCTCCCCAGGGGTATGAGTGTGGGTGAGCCAGACCCGAGGGCCTGAGAGCAGAACTGGCCCGGCTCCTTGTTGAAGGCGGCATTGGGTGAGCTGGCCAAGGCAGTGTTGGAGAACTCACCTGGGTGGTGAAGATAGGGGAGAGCTGGCAGGGTGACCAGCCCAGCTGCCACCCAGGCCCAGAACCAGGGCTGAGTAAGCCCACCCCAACATCTGCCTCATTTATAAACTGTTGGAGCATGTGAAGGTGACGAACCTACAGATCCAAAACTGCAGGATCTCCACGACACAGGACAGCAGGGTATCCGAGAGGAGCCCCAGTGAGAGCCCATTGTCCCTGGTGTAGCAGAGGCCTTGAACCAGACCAATGGCTCATGGCAATGAACATTTGTGAGTACAGATGAAAGGACTGAAGGGTTAACTGTGTGACTCAATGACCACACCACAGCTTCCATGACAAGATTCTTCTTTTTGTTTGTATTTTGTTTTTGTTGTTTTGGTTTTTGTTTGGCCTTTTTTTTTTTTTTTTTACTTTATTTGGTTTTTCTTTACAGTTTTGTTTTGTTTTTGGGAGGAGGTTGCATGGGTGGAAGGCAGATGGGGGAGGGAGAGATGGGTGGGATTGGGATGCATGATGTGTGATCTGCAAAAATCAATGAAAGTTAAAAAAAAAAGTGAACCAATTCTGGTCTGCTGTTGAGTGTCTGTGAGATGTGTGTTGTTGGTATGTGTACACTAACACATACACCCACCCATACAATGATTCTGAAAACAACTAAAAATGGTTACCCTGTGTTAAGAAGTAATCAGGTTACAGGAAGGGGACCTGAATTGTTTCAGAGAAGGCTTCTCTGTTGACTAAGCACCCATAGTCAACTCTGTAGTTGACTATGATTAATTTAACTGAATTTCTATACAAAGTATTATGAAAATCCCAAAGTCCTGAAGCCAACAGTATTTTCCAGACTGGATTAGTAAACCGTAGCCCAGGGGCTCTAGCCAGCAGGTGCTATTGGACTCCTGCTGTTGTGTTCAACTGGCAGAATCCATCTGCTTCCAGAGCCAAAGACACCCGATACATGGCCCTTCACAAAAAGACACCTGGTAGACAGAAAGCCTCAGAATTGGAGCTTGTTGAAAACAAAAGCCGACAGTTAACTTAAAGGACATGAAGTATGTGTAGAAAATAGGGAAATGTCCTGTTCATTTAAAATATAATTCACGGGGCTGGAGAGATGGCTCAGAGGTTAAGAGCACTGACTGCTCTTCCAGAGGTCCTGAGTTCAATTCCCAGCACCCACATGGTGGCTCAC